TCGCCTGTGTCCGTGGGCGTCACTGGGTCCCCGACGCCACGTGGGAAGCACAGTCGCTGCCGCCTGGGGGCTGCTGTGTGTGCGTGTACACACGTGCACACACACACTAGCCCGTGCACACGCACACACCATGGGAGCCCCGGAGAGTGACTGCGCCCAGGGGCCCACACACTGCACAGCGGGTCCGGGGCACGGAGGCAGGTGTCAGGAAGCCGCCTCGCGCAGGTGGACAGGCTGGGCCCTGTGTGGCCCACGGGTCCCTGGAGGCACAGAGGACCTGAGCAAGCTCAGCGAGGCTTCCTCTCCCCCGGGCAGGGAATGCATGGCCCAGAGAATCAGCCCCAGGAACGGATTTGAAGTCGGTGCTGAGATTCATGAGACGGAAGCCTCATCCTCTGCCTGCTGCCGGATCTCCCCCGACAGGTGCAGCCCCGTTGCCTCCTGGGGGCTGCAGGCCGGTCATCGGGAGCCTGCACCTGCCCCGGCACAGGGCCTGGTTCTCACGCGCACGTCCTTGGCCCGTGCTGCGTTCGGGGAGTTCTCGCCTCTGCAGATCAGCACTGCTGCAGGAGTCCTGGACTTGGGGCTGCGTCCAGGGCCCGTGTTCCTGCACCGCTGAGACGCAGGGAGGCAGAGCCACAGACTTCGGCCGGTGTCCTCGGACGGTGCCCGGAAACCCTCCCGTGAGAAGAGGGAGCAACTGCTCGGGCAATGATATTTAAATGGCCGCCGATTGCCAGCACTTTCCCCAGACTTGCCGTCGTGTTGTTAGGTCTTCTGTAGCTGTTCTCACAGGCTAGCAGTCAGATCCAAGACCAGGGTGCAGAGTGGCAGTGAGCGGGCAGGGGCCTGCCTCTGCCCCGGGCTGTAGACACAGGGAGCTGTGCAGCTCACACACTCAGACTTCTGCCTCTCTGGAGCCAGCTGCAGGTCAGGAGTGCTCCAGCCCTGATGCCGTCCGGTGCTCCCTCTCTGGCCTGGCTGTCAGGCACGACATGGGCACCATGGACGACAGGGGAAAGACGTGAGTGTCTCCATCTGATCAGCCTCTGGCTCAAGCCAGCGAACGTCTCCACCCAGACCAAGACTTCCCTTAGAACACGCAGGGCCACTGCTCGGCGTTAGAATGGACCAAGACCTCGTGCAAGAAACTGCAAGACAAGACACCAGCCATTCCTTTTTTAAGATTTATTTATTTGGAAGGTGGAGTGACAGTGAGAGGAGAGACATAGAGATCTTCCGTCCGCTGGTTCAATCCCCAAATGGCCACAGCAGCCAGGGCTGGGCCAGGCAGACGTCAGAAGCCTGGAACTCCGGATCCTGGTCTCTCGCACGTGTGGCAGGGGCCCAAGTCCTCGAGCCCTCTCCACTGCCTTCCCAGGTGTCTTAGCAGGGAGCTGGATCCGGGGAATGGGGCAGCCAGGACTCGGACAAGCACTCCAGGATGGGCCAGCATTGCAAGTTGGTGACATAACCCTGCAGCACAAGGCCCGCCCCCACCAAACCCTTCTTAACAAACCTCAAGAGTGATTAGAGGTGAGCTGGAAACACGGCCCAGGGGGCCCCACAGGCAGCTGCCACGGCCCGGAGGACGGCACAGTGCACTGGACATCACTTGTCGTCCCCTGGTCTGGAGCTGCCATTCCTGGGCCACTACCACTCCCAAAGAGGCCTGGGCATGAAGCCCTAAAAGTCTGCCTTCTGGGTAGAGCGACCACCTCTCCAGCTGTCCACAAAGCATGCCCCGAGCAGAGCTCCCGCATGTGCGTGACCGTTCGTCAACGAGAAGCTGGCCAGAGCACCAGGCCGCCCCAGGCGTGTGCCACAGGACACCGTTTGAGCCATCAGTGGCCCCAGGGGCCAGCAGGTGCCCCAGGGAGAAGCCGTGAAGGCTTCCTTTGAGTGAAAGAGCGAATCACGGAGCGACGCGGAGGCCACGTCCACGCGAGTGCTGTTGCCACAGCCGTTCTGTGACCATCAGACCCTCCTGTTGCTCCAGCCAGGCCTAATTTATAAATCGGGCATTTTCATAGGTGGCCGTGTCTAGGAAAAGGCGGGGGCTGGTACCAGCACAGCTTCAGGCAGCCCCTGGGGTCTTGGATCGTGTTCCCTGCAGGCAAGGGGGCGGGGGCGGCGGCTGGAATCTGTGTGGGGAGGGGAGCAGAGGGGGACGCCCACACGACTGCTGAGTGGCTGTTTGTCTGAGCTGTCCCTCCTGCTGTCCCAGGCCTCGAACATGGCCCCTGGGCCGTCCCCTGGGGCCCATCTCTGCTCTCTCTCCAACCTGCTGGTCTGGCCCCGGTACCACCAGCCGAGGATCTGGTGCCTGTGAGGCGTGGACTCAGGAGAGCTCCGTGGCGATGATCACTTCCAAGCAGCCTCCGTGATGTGTGTGACGTGGGGACCACGGGGCAGTGGCCCAGGAGGGGCCTCCAATCCCGCAGCCTCCTGGGTGCAGAGCAGGAAGCCCCTCCGTCCACTCCGCTTGCTGTGGCGCCCACGGGGCGAGGCTGGCCGGTCCCCACCACCCCCACTTCCTTACTCTGCTCCGGGTCTCCTGACAGCAGAGGGAGGGATTCTCCACTCTGCTGGGCAGCTCAGCAGAAAAACACAGAACTCACAAGGTGCTTAGGAGGGGCCCGAGCCCGCGGCTTTGTCACCAGGGGCCGTCAGCGTTCCTTCACGCAGCCCAACTCAAGGAGGACGTGTCCTCCCGAGGCAAGGCCGACAACGCGGCCAGCACCGGCCAGCTAGGACGTAACGCAAATCAGCCTCCGAGGGAAGATTCGGAGGCTGCAACCCCACGTGTGAACCGAGGTCGTTAGCGTCCTCGGGAGAAGCTGCCGCCAGCGCCTGGCCCCCGGCCACACTGCCGCGGTCCTTACCCAGTGGCCTGTGTGGTCAGCAGCCGGGCACAGTCCCTGGGGGCACAACCAAGCGGACAGGGGAGAAGGTAGTGCATGGCCTCTGCTTCTGCTCCCAGAGACGGTCGCAAAGGAGCCCCAGGCTCAGTCCAGTTCCCAGCCCCGTAGCCAGCGGCAGCCTCGGAGGCAGGTGTGCCGGGTGTCCGGGGAGGAGGGGCCCTGGCTCTGCGGAGGGCACGTGTGCACGGCCACCGTCCCCAGACGGGAGTCCCGGGAGCTCAGGTGGCCGCTGCCCCCTCACTCTTCAAGTTTTCAGGTCCCTCTGAAAATGAAGACAGAGGGTTTGTCTCTTTTAGCCCCTCAGGCCGCCTGTCCACTGGTACAACCCGCTGGGCCCCACGGGGTGCCCTGAGCGAGGTGTCGGCTGCTCCCCGCCATCCGTGGGGTCAAGCCTGGCCTCTGACAGCAGAGGTCATGGGCTCTGTGCGGCCGCCGGGAGAGAGGGGTTTGACCCACAGGGACAGAAGGCCGACCGGAAGCTGCCTGAGGCTGGGGGAGGAGGAAGCACGGGTGCGGAGTGGGCAGGGGTTCCATCTGGGGCAATGGAATGTTCTGGAGCCACACGGGCACTAAATGCCACTGGCTGTTCCCTTCAAGATGATTGATTCTGGGTGACGTCAGTTTCACCTCGATTAGGAAGGGGCAGAAGTCTTTGAACGCGGTCCAGGAAGTGGCGATGACAGAGTCCCGGCCAAGGCAGCAAATATTTGCTCTGAGCTGGAAGGGGCCCCCTGAGGCTGCCAGCCCGCCAGGCCTCCCTTCCCCGGGGCCCCCGTCCTGCTGCTGCCCACCCCCAAACCCCAGCAAGGCTCCCTGACCCGGGCCCCTGCAGCCCCTCCACTTCCTGCTCCTAAACAGGAACGCCCGCTCGGAGGCTCCCAGCAAGGGGCCGGCTCCCAGCAGGCACGTGGAGCCCTGTGCACCTGCCGCCGCCTCATCCATAGTCATCCACACAGGGGCAGCCATGCTCGGCGCCCCCACCCCCAGAGGCCACCTCCCTGGCTTCCCCTTTGGAGGGGCAGGGTCCACCCTTCCAGCTCAGCCAGTGTCCCTCCTCCGTGCATGGGGTCCACGCCCACATGCTCACCTGTGCCCAGGTGCCTGACACCTGAGAGCCACTCAGTCACTGCTGGCTGAGTCAGCAGCCGCTCTGCCTGGCTCTCTGCCGTGGGACTCGGCGGCCCTAGAGGATGCCAGGGGTTGAGCAGGGGCCCAGCAGGAGCCGGGGAAGGCCTCACCCACCTCCAGCTGCTCGTGGATCCAGTCCAGGAAGGAGGTGATGCGGGTGTAGACCCCCGGCTTGTTCACCTCGGCACAGCCGATGCCGAAGCTCGTGGCTCCCACCAGCTTCCACAGACTCCTCTGCTGGCACACCAGGGGGCCCCCGCTGTCACCCTGCACGGCGAGGGGGAGGCCGAGGTTCAGGGGACGGCACTGCCACTCGGCGGCATGAACCCCGTTACAGTATCACATGCACCTGCCGGCCCTTCCAGAACTGACTCTGGACCCCAGCTGTGTCTCCCCTCCCAAACCCCAGACAAGGAAGCTGTGAAGGTCAAGGACACCGGGTGCAGCCAAGGGCAGGTGCGCCTGTTCACCTGTTGTCAGCAGGCGCCATCAGTCTCTCCTGCTCTGACGTCGGGGCCCAATTCAGCGGTTCCCACCCACCCCTACCCCTCTGTCCCCTGACACCGTGAGCCCCTCCCACCACCCCTCACCAAGCAGAGTGGGCGCTCTGGGTAAACACGGGCCTGGCTGCCAGGAAAGGGAGGGATATCTTAAGCAAACTCTTGGCCACACCCTGTAAATTTGCCTTTCAATCCGTCACAGGGAAGCCTCGCAGTGAGCTGTCCCCAGGGGCTGGGCGCCGCCCGGGGTCCGTACCTGGCAGCTGTCCACGCCGCCCCTCAGGTAGCCGGCACACAGCATGGACGGCGAGATGACGCCGCCGTAAACCTCCCTGTGGTTGCAGACCTTGTTGGAGATCAGCGGGACAGCCGCGTGGTTCAGCACAGGGGAGGCGTCTCCTGCTTCCGAGCCGGGGCAGGGCGGTGCGGTGAGAAGGAACCCCAGCTCTGAGTGTCGCGTGCGGGGGCACCGGTGACCGGGGCCTGGTGCCACGTGGCCACAGAGAAGCCCCGGCCCGCGCGGTGTGACAGACTGCAGCTTGGAGCTACTAAGCTTGGGCCACCGCTGCAGCGGCAGGAGACTAGGACCCCGCGCTGGGCCAGCCTCACCCCCGACAGAACCCCCCCCCCGCCCCGGATGGAACATTCTGGAACCTAACCTGGCCTGGCCGTAACCCCACCATCTTCCTGTTCTGTGGGCTTGAAGGAGGAGACCCTCCCTCTCCACTCGCCTCGTCCATTCCAGGGGCAGTGGTCAGCGCTCCTCCAAGCCCACCCTCGAGCGTTCGAGGCGTGGGGGTGGCTCTGCAAATCCCACGGGAGCTCCCAAACGCAGGCACACACCCGCATCCGCAGCCGGGCCTGCGTGGTCCAATCCACGGTCCGCACTGGGCTGAGCGTGGCCCCTGGCCCTGCTCCCGCCGTGGACACTCGGGGAGACACAGAGGCGCCCTGGCTTCTTGCAGAGCAGGCGTGAGGACAGGGCCGGGTGGGGCAGGAGCTCGGCCACACCTCCCCCAGCTGGCTGTGCGCCCGGGAAGGACCCTCACTCGCTCCGTGGGAGGTGCTGTGGGCATCTCTGCTCAGGGCCACTCCAGGGGTCACTGGCACCCCATGGACACAGATCAGTGCTGTGACAGAGCTCCGTGGGAGGGGCTTCCTGCACAGGCAGGCGGAGTTGGCCAGCCTGGGTGGGGGCACGCTGTACTGGAGCGAGGGTCGCTGGGACATTTGTGGTGGACACAGCAGAGTGCAGGCCGGGAGAGGGGCAAATCCACCCAGGAGCTGGAACCTTCCAGGAGAAAGGCCTCCGTAGGCCCGAGGAATGAGAGCCACTCTGGTGGCTGAAACCCCCGAGAGCGCTCAGGACCCCCAGGAGAGGAGGGGGCGTGGACCGGCTCCCCTCTCCCTTCACAAACCCAGCTTCAGATGGAGCTGGGAGCCCCCGCGGCCAGCCACAGGGCACGGAGCTGGGCCCCAGCCGAGCGGGCGGTCAGGGCCCCGAGAGGGGCGGTCACCTCTGCGGGTGCTGGCGGGCGTGAGGGCCGGCAAGGCCCCTCGGACCCACAGACCTGGGCAGCCCCCTGACCAACCAACGTGTCTCAGGAGGAAAATAATGAACTTCCAGGCAGGTGCCTGTGAACACACGCCATGTGACGGCTTGGGTGGGGTCTTTGCAGAGCTAAGGCTCTCAAGATGAGAACACCCTAGAAGAAGGGCGGGACCCGAACCCACTCAGGAGGGGCCGGTGAGGGGCGGGGACTCGGGGCAGAGCCTGAGCCTGGAGCAGCTGGGGGGGGGGGGGGCGGATCCTGCCACAGCCCCTCCCCCACTCCCGAGCAGGCCTCTCTGTGGTTCGAAGCCTCCCTGATTTGTCACACACCCACTAGCGGGCAAGCGGCCGTGCCTGGGCCCCTCGCAGAGGCGAGCAGGGCACGGCTCACCTGCGGCCGTTGTTGGCGCTGTCACCGAGGCCCCTTCTGGGGAGGCACAGCAGTGAGAGCCTGGGGCTGCTTCCCCACTGGGCCGTGGCCGGGCGCACAAATGCACCCCCCAAAGCGCCACAGGCAAAAATCTCACTGGCTGCCGGCTCTGCTCTGAGTAACAGGGCGAGGGTCGGCCCCCAGTAACAGGGAAGGGAGCGGGGAGGTGGGCACCCGGTGGATCAGCGAGGGTCTCCCCTCCTAGGGTGCCCACGGCTCCTCTGCCACCTCCTGCTGTCCTGAGGTGAACAGAACCCCGGCCCCACAGCCCCTGGCCAGTTGTGTGTGCTGGGTGGTTGACCAGTTGGCCAGCTGCCCCACACCCCAGCTGGGACCCCTGGGTTCTGGGTTTGGCTCTGATCTGAGACCACTGACCTCCGTCCTCCGTAGCCCCCCATCCCGACGTCCAGCACACTTTCCCGTCCGGGAAGTTCTCCTCGGAGTTGGGCAGGCACACTGGCTGCACCAGCTCTGTGAAAGCAGGACAGACCAGCAAGTCAGTGATGCAGCCGTCAGAGGGAACGCCTCCGTGTCTCCCGGGAAGGCGGGGCCCTGGCTCGCAGAGGCTCCGCCCCCCAAGCCCCTAAGACCCTCAGACAGCCCTGCACTGCACGTGGCAGCCTGACTGTGGAGGCCCAGACAGGAGACGACTGAGGCTTTGGGGGCCCCACGCTCTCGGCCGCAGGTGCAGGGAGACGATGGGGTCCAGCCAGGACTCAGTTGTATTTGCCCACCTGCGGGCAGGGGTCAGACATGGCCATGGGCATGCTGGGCGCTGTACAGCTAGGCCGAGGGCATCTGTGCCGTCTCACAGGCCACACAGACACACGCCGGGGCACGGCTGTGACACAGAGTGCCGTGTGTGCCAGAGCTGTGTGCGCCCTTGCTCTGAGACGTGCCGACCCATCATGGGCAGGACCGGAATGTGGGTGCAGAGGGGATAAAGGGGCCCTGGGGTTTGTATCCCAGTCCACGT